TTCAGAACAAATAAATTTTTTGCTTATTCTAAAAAAAAAGTTAATATAATAAGTATATTCAAATAGTTAAATTAATCGTTCGGGTATCCGTGATCACCCTCTGTATAATAAATATTGCTCAAATTGTAATAAAAAAAATATTGAAAATTGAAATCAAATTTGTCTTAAATGCTGATTCTGATTACCTACATTAATAGAATTACAAAAATCAAACATAGTTTTAGAAACTAATCTATTGAATGAATCAATTAAATAAATTATCTTTAAATCTCATAATTTTAAAAAAAAATCTGAAACATCAACTACTGTTTTACGAATTAGTATTATTCAATGATTAACTGCTAATCAAGATGTTTGTATTCCTAAAATTTATATTTCTGATCCTTTAAATGTTAATCCTAATTCAATAGTAAATGTTGAAAAGGTTTTTTAATATATAGAAAAAATATTAGAAATTCAAGATGGATTACGTAAATAGATAGTAGTAATGTGTGATGGAATTTCATATTTATCATGCTATTAAAATAAAAAATAAATTTCCTTGGTTAATTATTATACTCAAACAATTGTATGAGGAAATAAACATACTTTGAGCATATGTTGAATTAAACTGGTAAGTTTAAATATAATTATTACTTATAATATATAATATTTTTAGACAAGGTGAACTTACTATAAGATTATTATTGTTGAATACTTAGTGTCGTTTAGTTCTCTCAAAAAAGTCAAATAACTCTAAGGTATATATCAGTTACATATTTTGATTATTATTTTATCATATTCTTATTTTCACTATTATATATATAGGTAGCATTTTCTTTTCAATTTCCAGTTATTAACTTTTTTCAAGAAATTTTAGTGGGAAATTTCCAAAAGAAAACTTTTCCCATTTTAATAATTTTGTATTAGGATTTACATATTTTATTTCAGTTACATATTTACCAGATAAAGAAGATCTGATTTCAATCTATAAACGATGTGGTACTATATTATGTAAAAAAACCAAAAAGGAATAGATTTAATTATTCCAATTATGTGTAAAAATGAAAGTTTAAAAATAGGTACAATATTAATTCAGGTACAAATTTAATTATTCTTTGTATTTATTCTACTTGTACATAATTAACATGATAATATTATTTATAGATTAATAATTATGCATATAAAGATAGTAAAATAAAATATGAACTTGGATTTCCACTTTCAACATATGATATTTTTGAAGATAATTTAGCCAATGAGAAGATAACAATTTAGGTTTATTATTACATGTTGGTAAGAATATCTTTTTTAAATAATTATTTTTATTTTCCTTGTAGGTTCAGCATATATTAATAAATCTTCATTGGAGATATATTATTATGATGAAAAACATAAAAAACTTAATAATAATTCATTATATAACCTTCGTAAAAAATCTAATCACATAAATAATCAATTCAAATATAATCGACTTGTGGCTTGTGGTCTAGATTCTTTCAACATTACTACTGAATATAAAAAAAAATTTGAAAGTCTCTTATGTTCATGGATTGATCCAATCCGATTTGTTAAAGAAGAAGATAATGTTGAAAAATTTTTATATCAAATGATGCCTTATATGTACATATTCTAGAAAAAATAATTTTTAGATTATTAATATTCATTTATATTATATTTTATGATAATAATAGAAGTGTTATAAGAAAAATAGAGAGATGTTAGCCAATAAAGATAAAAGTGTGACTTAAAAAAATGCTTTTGATTAGCAACTTGAAAGTATCAACACAACATAACGATAATATGGACAAAGAAAATTACACATGTAGTTATGAGCATACTAGATATTTTAATTTAACTTTTACATTCATTTAAAAAAGAAATAAAAATGACGCGAAATTACTGCAGCGACGGGCTAATATTAGCGTTACATAACAAAAATATAACGAATCTCATAAAAACGAATATTTTTATAGGGTTATACTATTACCGCGGATCGAATGACAATATTAGTACGGATCCTGATGCATATTTCAAATATATTCAGGACTTTTCAAATCTAAGAGGTGAAAGGATTTGCCGGGAAAGCAACTATTACGATCCGAAAAAGTCACAAACCTTTTAAAATTTCGATAAAATTTTCGATGATTACATCTTTGTAAATAATCTATATATTAATCTAATTTAAATCTATTAGGAAGCTAAGTTCGCAAGATCAAAGTGTACATTCAGAAGGTTAAACGATGATCAAATCTACTTTTGTCTTTTACCGGCCCAGTCAATTGGTTGAAGAAGTTGAAAACCGCAACCGACGCAAATTAATTTAGCGTGGTTGGGATTACGTGTACAAGATGGTAGTCAGGATCCAGCTATATATAGTATAATGAACATTTTAATATAACGAAGACTTTTGCGAAATGAATTTTTACTATAAAGGATAATCTGACATGAAAAAATTTTCACATATCTAAATTTTTTAAAATAAAATTAACCATGAATAGATGTTCGTCATGTTTCGTGATTTTATACATTTCCTTATACGAACATGCCGAAAGTAAACCCTAAAACAACTTAATGAAGCCTGCTTTTATTCGATCGTCTATCATTCAATAATCCTTATTAAATGATAATTACTTTTACCCGTTCTTAACACACAAACCATTCCATCTAATAAATCGTTCTCAATAACTTTACGATGAGGTTCATTGATCCTCTGATTATTTAAATAAAGTCCACCAACTTTTATCAGTTTGTTCGCCTCATTTCTTGATTTACATATACCTGTCGTAACAACGACACGATCAATGGTGCAATTTAAAATTTCATTACGATAAACTGATGTTAGTCTTTGTGAATCATGTAAGAAAGCTTCAATTAATTCATGTCCTCGTATATTTTCCAACGGTCCTCCAAACAATACTTTGGTAGCCAATTGTGCTCTTTGGAGTCCGGCAACTAGTATAATTTTAAGAAATAATTACTCATTTTAACCAAAGATAGAATAATAAAGATAACTTTCATACCTCCATGCACAAGTTCTGTTATCTCAGAAGCTAATTTTTCTTGACCGTGATGTTTCTCCGGAGATTCCTAATAATTAATTAATTAATTAATTAATTATCACCGGATGTCACATGATCTTACAAAGCGTATTTAACGCCTTATCGAATTACCATATGAATTTTCGCAATTTCATCGATCTCTTCTACACTCAATATAGTAAACATGCGAAGATACTTTGCAACATCAGCATCAGCCACTTTCATAAAATACTAATAAGAAATGAAGCGGACATATTTAGTTCCACATCACATTTCGACATCTCTTTTTTAACTCTTGTAAAATATCTACCTGATAAAATTCATATGCACTAGTCATTTTGTCATCCAACCAAATGGCATTTCCTGCGGATTTACCAAATTTTTCTCCGGTTGATGTTAATAACAAAGGTATAGTAATGCCAAAGGCGGTAGTATAATCGTTTGAAGCTAAATCCGGTCTCTTTTTGTGAATCAAGTCAATTCCTGCCGTAATATTTCCCCATTGATCACTTCCTCCTAGCTTGCACGGATCAAAAATGGTTCATTAATAAAAACGAAAAATGAAAAAAATTTTTTTTTTTTTCCTTTTTCGGATCGACTCACTTGAATTCGACATTGATGATAATGATATAAATGCCAAAAATCATATGCTTGTAATAATTGATACGAAAATTCCGTAAAACTTATTCCTCCTGTATTCTCCATTCTTGATTTCACACTTTTGAAAAGGTCTGAATGAGATTCGTTAGGTTCGTTAACTTTACACGAGATATATAATATATTGCCTCACCTGTCCCTCATGAGCATCGTTCCAACACGCGCATACCTTCCGATATCATTCAATAGCTCCAGGGCAGACATTTTCCGAAACCATTCCAAGTTATTCAAGATAATCACATTATCCGGTTCATCGCCCATTTTAAAGCCGCGTCGCGATGCGTAACTTTTACCGTTAATAAAAATTTGTCGAATTTGATTATCGATCGCAGCAGAATTATTTTCGATCGTTGAGAATGATAGAGGTTGACGTTCGGTCTTGCGACCAGATGGATCGCCTATTGATCCGGTCGCGCCTCCGATCTAATTCATAGTGTTAATATATTATCAATTTTTTTTCTCCTTCCAAATAACCATATTATAAGACCTTAGACGGACCAAAGTGATTGTACGATGTCCATGAATATGAAAATGTAATAGTCCAATTAGTGTTAACAAATTTCCTAGATGCAGACTTGGCGCAGTAGGATCTACGCCACAATAGATCGTTGATCGATTTTTCACTTGGTTGATGATATCGGGACTAATGCAATTTTTTTTTTTTTTTTTTTTTTTTGGAAAATGAAAGCGAGCCGTTAATAAAATATTAATAAATCCATTTTCGATCATGAAACGACCCCAAACATAAAAAAAGTCATTCACGAAGAAGGAAATACGAAACCTTGTCAACGCATTAACCAGGTCTCGTTTTTTCAATTCTTCAACTACATTTGTATTTTGCTGGGTAAAGTATCGAATCGACGCATTGAAATGAAACCATGATAAAATCTTTCTTGACACATGAGGAAATGTATTGATTTTGATACTTTGAAATATTCTTTTGGATTTGATCATAATGTAATTAATATTTCTGGATCTTATTAATGCAATTGGCTAGAAAAAAAATATTTGGACCAAATGGAAAATAAAAATTATTTTTTTGTAATGAGAATCAGATGATCAATTTGACTTACATCATACATTAATCAATTTAATTTTTTTTTTTTTCGTAGACAGGAGAAATTATGATTTTAAAATGCGAGGACATTGGCATTTCCAAGGTTGCCTAAATGTGTGGATTGGGAAGGAATCTTTTTTTTCTGGATATGATGCAATTGTATATAATTTCGTTTCCAATGATGGGAAGTTCTAATTTGAGCTTTGCATATATCTATTTCTGAGCGTTCAAAGGGTTATAGAATTAAGCGAAACTACGATTTTCAACAGGGCAATTTAGACGACACCACAAGATCGACGCGTCCTCCCGATTTTCCATCAATCTTCAAACGATGTGTTAGAAAACAAGAAAAACAGAGCGTCTAATATTCCTAATGAAATGCATGAGAGCATTATATTTAGTCATTTTGGGCAGATATATCGCGTAAGTTGTACCGCCCCAATCAGACAATGAGCGCAACATCATGAGCTCTAAACTACAAAAAGTGGTTTGTTTTGGAGAACTGATTTATTCGTCAACCTCTAATTCATGTTTTGAACTTCATACTCTCTTAGCAGTATTTTTTTCCAAAATTCAGTATTATTCATAATATTATTTACACAATGATTATCTATTTTTCTATTTGTAATAATAAGATTAGAATGAGTAATTGCCATAATCTAATAAAAAAAAAAAAATAAAAAATTAGTACAATTTACAAAAATATTTCAATTATTATTTACTCTTATGTTATTATAAAGTGATAAAATAATTTTTAATGCTTTAGAAAGGTTGTTTAATGTGTAATATAAGAATATTGAGATATTTTACCAGTAAGTTATTTATTCTTTTATTTTAATAATAATTTATTTATATTTGTTTCTTGTGATATTTGACATTGTAATTTTTTATAATACTTTTTTTTAGTAAAGTCACATAATATAAAATTTTACAAATTCTTAACTTTATAATACTAATATTAATATATTTTAAGAATTTTTATATAAAAACATTTTATTATATAAGCTAAAATTTTTGAATGGATTATAATTCAATAGATATAATAATGAATTACATCTTATATTTAAATTTTATAGACCTAAATATTATTATAATAATTTATATCATTGAAAAAATTCTAATAAAGATTTAAAGAAATAAAAGAAATTTGATCAGAAAAAGAAAATATTTATAAAGAACAAGATATATGTTTTATTAAAGTTTTATATACTACTAATTTTTTTTTTTATATTTAATATATATTAATCAAAAAGGAATACTTAGATAATATAAAATCATAATCTAGAATTATCAAAATTTGTATGATCATCTTATGATATATTATTAATAATATTTTAGCTTAATATTATAGAATAAAAAAATCTTGAATTAATAGATAAACTTATATACTATATAAATAAAATTAAAGTTATAAAAAAATATAATGAAAATTTTAATATATTCTAATAATCTTTTAGATTATTAATTAGCAAATGAACTACAATCAATTCTTGTTATAACAAATTCTACATTTTAGATCTTAACTTCATTATAAGGCTATAACGAAGATTTTAAGAGATTTAATTAATCAATTTGATATAACAAGAGTATTTTTATTAGATTTATTCAAAAAATTCGTTATATCAAAAGATCACTATATTAAGAATTGATTATAATTCAAAAAAACTAATGAAATTATTAATCTTTTGCTTAAAAATAAACTTTATTAAATATTTAATAAAAAAAATATTTATATAAATATTTTAGATGAAGAATATTTTATAACAAATATAATAATCTAATTTTATTGAATATTATTTTAAAAGCTAAAATATATTTCTTAAATCATTATATCAGATAATTATAAATAGTTCAAAATCATATTATAAGTTATTACATTTTGAACTATAAAACCTAATAAAATTTTAAAGATAATTCATTTTTTTTAGAAAGAGGTATAGTAATTGTATTCAAAGATCTATATATTGATTTAAAAGATATAAGAAAAAATTATTAATTTTTATTGAAGGTTATAAATAGAATTATACATTTATAAGTTAAATAATTAATGTAGTATAATTAAGATAATTGATAAATATTTATATGAATAAAAATTTATTGTTTTGATTTGACTGTAACTTGAAAATATCAACACAAAATGCAAGTTGATTAGAATCAAATTTTGAAAGAGAATTATGATTAAGCATGATATTTATATATTATTATTATAATGTAATCATACTGTATTGATTTGTCAAGAAAAATTTCAACTGAAATCTCTTTTTCAAAAATAAGTAGGTTTTATAAAATATTATTCATGGTTTTTTGCTGATCACTTTTTTGTCATAATCACGTGATAATAAGACAGTAATATTACATCTGATTAACCTGAAGAATTACCATGACAATACATCATTAAGTGGTTTATTTTATTTAATAATTAGAACAATACCGCGACATCAGAGAAAATCTGAAAATTGTTAACTCTTTCAAGAAAATTCACGTGATTAGACGAATATGTTCGCTAAAATTTGCTAAGAAAAAAATTATTAATATGTTGTAGATAATGACATGCTAGACCCTGGTCTTTCATTTTCCACTATATTAGATAAATGATCAATTCTATCTTTAATCTGAACAAGTTTTTGAACACTCATTCCAAATAATATTTCACTTTCAAAGAACTTGGATATCTAGAGTTTTTCAAAAGCTATGATATGCTCTCTTGACTAGGTTCTCTGGAAGCTTACCAGTAATATGTTTATAGTTAGAGTGAAACATTTCAGTTATTAATTATAATATTTATGCAAAAGTTTGCACACAAAACTATGGACTATGTATAAGCCTTTTCAGGCAAACTTTATTTCCGCATATAATAATATATTAAATACAATGCAATAGACATTTACGATTGCAAATTCTATCACTATGTAGAGCTATCGGCGGAGGAATTATTGGTGATGGTGAAGGAAGAGACATTCCCTGTGATGATGGCATTAATTATAGTTGTGGTCACCATCATCACCTAATAACTTTGCGATGATCGTCAGGATCAATACTATTTTAAAAAAATTGTTAGTTTTAAATTGTTGAAATTACAATTTTGCTAATTTAATAAACTTACTTTTTGGGTAATTCTAATGTTAGTTTGTTTTCATCCTCTGAAAAATAAATTCCCTCTTCAAATATGGTGGTTGAGGCGCCTATGAGCAGAAAAGTTAGATATCATAGCTTGATTATTTTCAATCTTAAGAGCATTTAGGCCATACTTACAGGTTTGTTTTTGCGAAATCTTTTTTGGTAAGGACTCCACATTATAAATCACCCGCTCTCGATTCTGAAGTTTTATTTTATGAGATTGAGGGATACCAGAAGGTATCGGGTGTGGAACTTGCGGAGTCTGTAGGATAAAGATCTTCTTTTGTGAAATTATATTTATGATGATCGGAAAAGGTACATTCATTTCAGTGGGACCACGGCAGATACATTAGAAGAGCAATTATCATTATTAATATTATTACTAATATTTTCCAGAGTCCATTCATCACACATAACATATTATCACATGTTTTGCTCTTTAATGACAGATTCCGTTCCACAAATGGTCTTCCGTCGACTTTTTGCTCAATTAGTTCATCGGTATGCAAATAACTCGAGATGTGATTATGGTAAATAATGCCCAAATGAATTTTAGTATGACCAATGAAAAAGTGTGATTCTCTTCCTCCTTCTGTGAATTCTTCGCTGAGAGCTTGAAGAATCTGATGCACTGCTTGTAGGATCACTGGAAGGACCGCCATTATCTTCATCTATATCCATCTCATCCAAATGATGATCAAAATGACCACCAATATATCCACCGATATCTCCACTAAAATCAGGCGTTAAGGCGGGGCTGGTACCGCTTCTCTCTTTATCCCATTCATCCCAGATCAATCCTTATAGTTTTATATCTGAAAGCGTGAAAATAATACGTTCCCTTTCAGCTTCACATTCTGAAAGCTCCCACCTCTAAAATGATAGATGCTATTTAGGCAACTTGAATCTGGTAAGATTAAAAAACATAACATACCTTCTTACACTCCTGAATTATCCCACACCCAATATCTTTCATTTTTTAGCAAAAAGTGAATGTCCAGACTTGACCTGTTATAAACATAGACATTAATTGTGTATGAATTTTATTTAGTAACAAAGGGAGGCACATAACTAATTCTTATTTTGATTAGTAGACCTTTATAACTAGGAGTTACTCTCTTTGCAAAATAAAATATGCACTTTTCTTTCAAAGAATCGAAAGTGGTTTGGCTTAACTCTCAGTTAAAAACAGCGATACCGAAAATGCCATTGATTCTAAAACAATTATTTCTCAGTGGCGGAGAAAAAGCCAAAGCGACTTATTTTTATGTTTGAGCCCTAAATAAGTAAAGTTACGCAAGTGATCTGCTGGTGGAACAACAATTCAAAATATAGGGATATTAGAGAAATATCATTGTTACTAACCATGTAATCAATTATAATTTTCTGACAGAAGCTGGTAAATTTTAAAACATTGTCGAAAGATAAGAATTGAATAGGGAAATTAGCCCTTATAGAAGACATTGCAAATATATTTAATTTTTATCACACTATTATTATAAACCCACATAATGTGATCTTAATAGATAATTAAGTAAAAGATAGAACTACCGCAATTATTAATATATAATTCTACTAAATGAATTATAAAAAAAAAAAAAAAATTTCAATCAATAAATCAATAAAAGTTATTATATCTTTTAAGCATGTGATTCATTATTCTTGAAAGTATACAATTATTTTGACCGACCTCATTTTAAAAAAAAATGAGATGACTTTAATTACACTATTAGATCGCTAACGTTAAAGGGATGACCAACTTGGCAAAAAACAAAATAAAAACTATATCTCTTATGGAACATAATCAGTATGCTAGCAATCCGACACTTGATCATCCAATCTATTGTATTATCACAACGATGGGAATGATAGATTCCGCACACATCACATCAAAAGAAAATCATTCTTCTCGTAAAATCAAGAGCGACCTTTTATTGCCGGTAGTAATCCTCACCTTAAAGACTGATTCATTGTATAACAAAGTTTTTGTAAAATCAATTGAAAGTGATTGTTACAATCACAAAAATATGAACGAGAATCATGCACGAGCAACTCACTGTCATCAGATAGGTCGATATCCGTTCCTTCTTCCCACCTCCATTCTTATGTAACGGATCACCTTATTTATGTCCGAGACCATACGATGAATACCTTTATAATTTACCAATATATGAAGTTCCCATATGATGCGAAATATCGATATAAATGCACGATATTTTTTATTCAAAGAGTATCGTTCACTAATTGCTCATTTAAGAATTCACCATAGGCATCACGTAGAGTTACAAACGAAATGTCAAACTTGCTACGTATTAAGGTGATATTTGAAAAAACATCAAAACCTATGTCACATAATCTTTAAACAAGAAGGATTGCTTAATTGTGAAATTTTTATTCAACGGGTTGAATGTAAAAAGCACATTGTTAACGATCATCCCGACAAACTTCAAGAATTATGGGAACAAAAATGGATTTCTAATGACGTTAATATTAGTGATAGAGTGGAAGAGCATTGTTAAAAGTAATACATAGAATGTAAAAAATAGAATGATTGCTGTAATATGTAAATGAAATTTTTTTTTTTTTTATATATATATTTATTTTTGTGATTCGTAAAATAATAATGACTTTCGCATTACTGGAAAAAAAAAAAATGTTGACGTGCGGCGTAACAAAAATTGTAACACAAACGGTTATCATTCTCTCGAACCATGTAGGTTTTCTCTTAAAAACTTCTTGTTGGTCGTTGCGAAAGCGTAAAATGCCAATCCTTTGGAAATTAAAACTTTCCTCAAGATTATTCAAAATTGCCCAATTCTTAAATACATGAAAATTTGTTTTAAGTAATAAAATATTTTAATTATTTTAATGCAATTTATAAAAATATTTATTTAATTCATTAGGATCGTGGTTTATATAGAGGGAGATATAATATATATACAGATAAATAAATGAAGATATTTCTAATTAGTTTGTTAAACACAGTGTCCATATCACTTTTTTTTCCCCCATATCATTACACCACATTACGGCGTTTCCATGGTAATTGGAACTTTCTCTTCCTTCCAGTCTTAGGTTCAACAGAACCAGTATCGTCGGGACCAAAACGGTTTTTATGATATCTAAATTGGAATAATGAACCAACGATGAAGAAAGCAACCATTCCACCAAGCATAAGGTAAACTTTTGTATTTGTCTTGTAAGGAATGTCATGATTTCCATCCGTGAATGCTCTAACAGACTGAGCGAAACCCGTCCTTACGAATATATCAATACCCAAAATTATAGCATAAGCTCCAATAAACGACGTTCCTAAGATGATAAGTGCATTCTTGAAGCAGCAAGCTAACATCAGACCGATTACTGTCAATGCCACTATAAAGATAATTCTAGCGACTTTATGGTGAATGACCCCATCAGATGACCATGCTAAAATGAATAATGCAAAGGTATATCCGGCAAGTGCTCCTAAAAACCAAATTGCCACCGATGTTAAACACATGAAAATTAGACCAACGATGAATCCAACCGCGAGTGATACTAGTAGGATAATCGTAGCACTAAGGTTTTCTGCTCCCGCGTATCCTCCATCAGGTTCTCCGTTGGTAAGACCGACCCATGTGATTATGGCTATATAAACCGAATTAAAAATTTACGTTAAAAAAAAAGGAAATTTTTTATTTATTTTTTTTTTTTTTGTTTGATGGTTCTCAGAACACTTACTGCCGATGTAAAATCCGATCATGAACAGTGTAAGTCGATAAATTCTTCTACCGAAAAAGCAGAAAATTATTCCGGTAATGATCAAAAGTATACCCGTAATGATTAACTGTGGTGTAAGATTTCCATTTGAATCGGATATTCCTAAGGTAGGATCTTTTGCTTGAGCATTGATGTTTAATGGAAATAATATTCCGACCAAACATATTAAACTTAACAAGAAGTTCGATTTTGCTAACATTTTTGTATTTCGTGTTTTTTTTTTTGTAAAAAATTTTTTCTTAACGTGAAATGAGAAAATCGTCCCATTATTTATATTCGAAAATATATAAGAAAAAAAAAAAAATTACCTAACTACAATAAAAATGGGCGCTTGATCTTATTCTTGGCGCTTAAATTTCGAAAATTCTTTAATTATAACAACAAATCAACTTCAATTACGTCATCTGTTATAATAAGACTATACCAAATCTGGTGCTTTTTCAAAATCATTATCAGACTATTCCCGGGTAATCATTTTGATCATCACTTGGCATTACAAGTTTAGAAAATCATTTATTGAATGTAAATGAGATGGGGTTACAGAAAATTTTATTTTTTTGTTTAAATTTAAAGATGACTTCACCAATCGTTAATTAAACAAGCATTAATCGTTGCATCAGCGGAAGTACATTTTCCTCCTTGATCTAAAGCAAAGGTCCAGTTGTGCTTTGTGCACACAAGTTTCGAACCTAAAACGACTCCCTTTGTTATAAGGGAAAAAAAAAAAATATTCATTGCCATTTAAAATTCATCATTGATTTCAAGTGGGCTACCAATATAACTTACCCTTGAAGATAAATCTGTATTAGCATGTGGGCACCATCTATCAACTTCGTAAGCTTTTCCATCTGGCGTTTTAATTCTTAACCTATTTTCCATTATTAATTTTTTCGAATTTATTCTTTTTGGAACGTTTTCGTTGGATTCTTTAAATAAAAAAAATTTACCATGAACATTTGGTATATTTTTTTTTTTTTTTTTTTTTTTTTTGGTAATTGATTGCATTTTAGAATTTGAATTTGATAAAGATGAATTACCTGAAGGAACTTTGTCATTCATTTTATTCATCGATAAATAAATAAACAAATAAACGAAAGAAAAAGGGCTATGTTGTTAACAGCTGTTACAAACATACCCGAGGCAATTTATTTATAGTGATCGGCAACCCACATTCAAAATTGGGTTCGATTAGGCAATTGAAAAACTTGGGGGGATGTTATGCATGATATTTTTTTTTTCTTTTATACAGAATAGTAAAGGATTTACTTTTTAATTAAACAAAATATATAGAATCAAATATATAAATGAAATTCTTCTCTATTATCATTCAAGAAATTAATATAATTGTATTAAAAGTTCTAATAAATCTTAAAAGATTTTCAAATATAAGAACAAATTATATAAAAAATATTCATTTATAAACTATTTTAAATTAAGTTATAACAATTTTGATAATACTAATAAAAGAATATTAAATTAAATTTTTGTATCAAAGTTCTATTTAACTAAATTCCTATTATTTTTAACTAAATTTAAAAGAGATTTAAAAAGATCTGATTAATTATCTTTAAATTTTAATAATTTAATTTTTTTTATAATATTTATGATTCAATTTTTATAATTAACTTATTAAAATACTTTAAAAATAATAAATATTAATAATATTAAATTAAATAATATGATTTAATATAATATTTATATGATGCTAAAAATCTTAATTCAATAATAAAATTATAATAATTAAAAATCTTTTAAAATTTTAAATAAATAAAGTTTAAAATAAATAAACTACAGAAGGTGGACAAAAGTATTCGCACACTTTTTCACTCAATATAAAACTTATAATTTTTTTGCATTAACAATAAACGGTCAATTAATATTTTATTTAAAGCCCTTTATCTGTTAAAATATTTCTAGTCAGACTAGAGGACACTTAAGATCATCATAAATTTTTTCAAGAACTTAAGCAATAGTCTTTAAAATTAAGATTCCCTGCTTATTCTTAACACTATATATACTAATAGGAATAGATACTTTATATCTCAAAGTAACGTCTATTACATTAAAACAAAAAAGATAGGTAATCCATCCTACTTTATTATAAGGCATGTAAAGAATATCTACCTGATGAACTTTATTAGGAATATTAATAGAGCAAAAACTTGCTTGAAGAATATATTTAGGACAAAGTATATGAATTTGATGAACAACATGTCTTTCAAGCCAATCCTTAATTTTGTTTAGACTAAAATTATATCTAGTCTTTTTAGAGACTTTGTGTAATTTTTTTGCAATTCTCTGATAGTCAACAGACTGGTAATAAATCTTCTGCAAAGCAATAGAAACATTAAGTTTTTGAGCTTTATCCAAATCTATCTGAATAATAGAAATCAATAAGGGCTAAGTAGGCATATATCGATTTACTAGACAGCAATTTAGAATTACAAATAAAGTTAATTAAAGAGGAAACTATTATCATTAAAAATAAGGAAAAGATTCATAAGCTCACAAATGATTTAGAGTGAGGTGAACTATATATTAAATAACTTGAAAAAAATCTCTACCTTATATAATCTCAAAAAATGTCAAAATCATTTAGAGCTAAAGGATGAAGCATTAATTGTTCAAGATAATCAAATCATTCTGTTAGAAGATATAGTAGAAAAGCTTAAAAGCTAAATTCTTAAGATATCACTTTTTTAAAATAACAGTAATAAACCTTCTAAAGAAGAATATCAAGAAAATATAGTACTATCAGATATCTTAAGAAATATTAATACAGTTTTAGATCAGATTGAAGGATATATCAATAGTGATATATTATTTGATCCAAGAAATACACTGAATGGAAAACAGATCTCAATAATAACTGTTTGAAGATATATGCAAAAATATGCTTAAGATACTATTAACTCACAAAGCCAACTTAATACTACTATCAGTCTGCTTAATATTGCTTATAGTTAAATAAATAACTTTATGAACGATCTAGTAAATATTAAAAATGAATGTCTTCAAAGAGCTCAGCTGTTGATTTTAGCATATAATAATAAGGTAAATAAGCATTACTGTTGATAACAAATAGCTCAGAAAAGATAAACTAATGATCAAAAAATAGCTTTTAGAAAGTAAAATTAGATTAATATATTAGTACAAGAAAAGGCAGTTCTCCAAATATTAGCTCAAAGATATAAATCTAAGGCAGATTTAGCAGAATTCAATTGAGCATAAGTATTTAATTGATATCAAAAATAGAAGGCTAAAGAATTAAATTCATGACAAATTATTTTGAATTTACAAAATAATCCTCTAGAAAATATAGCTACTATTCAAGATATCATGCATACTATTTTCTCAGCACTTGTATAGTTACCTAATTATGATAGTCAAGAGCCTCCAGATATATACTACCAAAAGCTTAGAAATATAAATGAAATAGCTCTTCCATTAGCTATCACCTAATTTAATATGTAAATAAAAAGCAATGTTATAAGAAATAAAATGACTAAAATATTTGCACCTATTCTTGCTAATAATCCTTATGTCAAAGATAATCTAGTTATTAATACTGAAACTCTCTTTCTAGCCTAATTATGTAAAAGATATAAAGAAGTTATAGTAGAGACTAATTGAAATGCTATATTTGCTTTTATTAATGAAAAATTCTTTGAAACTAAAGATGGCGTTACAACATTATGATGCTTATTATCATCTGTTGCAACTTAAATTTTAATAATATTGCAATTCGTTATAATATTATGATGCTTATTTGTCATCTGTAGCAAATAATTGAGGTATTATCTTTATTTGAAATAGATATTCCAGATAGTTATAAAAAATGAATCAAACTACTAGTACAAGCAATACAAAATGCTGATGCTATACCTTATCTATTTAATTATTTGTCTTCTGATTTAGAAATGAGAGTTAGAATTGCTAACCCTACTACAGTTAATGTATTTTTTACTGAGTTGCATAATAAATAGCATAAAAGTGTAGATAAAGAATATAAGCTTCTGCATCAGTTCTAGTTAACTTTACTACTTAACCACAAAAAGATTCATTAGATAAAGGGCTTAAAGCAATTGCTTTTATAAAATGACTTACAGGAGATTTGCAATATACAGGGCTAGCATCAGATATTAATATTTTAGATTATTTTATTTATGATGATCTTAGTAAAAGGCTAGAGTGTAAAATGACTCATATTAGATAAAGCCTTTTCTCAGAATTACAGGTTAGAAATACAAATGCTATAAAAAAAGCTGTTAGAAAGATAGTACAAAAATATCAGTTAAATAAATTGTTATCTAGCAAGTTATTCAGTATTGCTCAGTCTGTAAAAAGGCTAGTCATACAAAACTTAATTGTTTTAAAGCTAATATACTTGAAGTCAAGTAAACTAAAAGGTTAATTATGTATACCAAAATGCGGTAAAAGTTCCTAAAAACTTTAAAGAAGAATACATAGAAGAATACATAGCAGAAAAGGAAAATGAAGCTGAAAAAGAGAAAATCGAAGATGATGATATTGAATATATTGAAGAAGATGATAGTGAATCTAAAAACTGTTATACTATAAAAAAAAGTAGTATGTAGTAGAATGCCTATGAAAAAGAAAGAAGCAACCAAGAAGTCCCTTACTTTCAAATCTCATACTGAAAATACCAAAATATCAAGCAATATAATTATGACTACAGATCAAATATATCAAATAGTCTTAAAATCTATAATATCATCAGTAGTCCTCTATTATTCTAAAGAGATTCTTATAGAAATTTTGAAATTTATTAATACAATATATCTCAAATTAAAAGACTATTACTTGAATACTGTTATGCCATATGGGAGTGTTTCTAGGAAAATCAGGTTCCAACACAGTTAAAAGAAGAGAATTAGTATAAGAGAATGTTACAAAAAAAGTACAAAAGGTCTTGCTTCCACTATTATAAGCAGTAAATACTAAGCAGAAGTCTCTTTTACAAGTTCTGTTTCCTTTTTAGACTACATTTATTCAGAAAGAGCAGGTATTTAAAAGACTGCACTAAGTTAAAAGAATGGTAAATAATATTATGAAAATAGAAATATTGCTAAATAATAATCATTTAAGAAGCAGGCATACTTTGAATTATGCTATTAAGGTATATGCGTAATATTATTCAATTGAAAAAAGATAGCCAAATATATTAGCTTAAGCCTTTAGAAATAAATTTTTTACAAATAAAGGATGCTGACGATGTTGCGACTATTTATTATAAAATAAGAGGTTTGATAATACTATATGCAATTATTAATACAGGTTCAGATTTTCAATATTTTCAGATAATATTGCTGAACTTATCGAAGAGCTTTTAGGTATTAAAAATAATAGGAAAAAAATTCATAGGCTTAATAGGGTTGCAAATCAATCCATATTAACTAGTACTATAGAGAATGTTCTTAAAACAATTAATTTAGAAGAAAATATAGCTACTATTATGGATGAAGTTTCTATTATGCTTGCAGAAAAGGATCAGAATGGAAATGTTAAATCTTTAGTAATTCTTGGTACTCAATGGTAATATCAGGCTGGATGGAAGTCTTTAATAAAAGGAAAATTTAAAGTTACATGTAACAGAAAAACTATTACTATTTCTCCATCAGTTCACAAATCTCAGTATAATATTTTTATTATAAGAAAAGTACTAGAATCTATAAAAAAAAACTAGCTAGCAAATGCTTTAATAAGGAGCATATATACAAAAATGTGATAAAGAATTTCTATACCTATCAAAGCTTGAACAATATTTGGCTAATAAAACTCCTTGTACAAAAGTGCTTTACATATTTTTTCTTCAAATAATTCTGCTAGAAGTTCATCAGTAAGTAATTCTACTACTTTAGAAGTTTCACTATTTCTAGAAGTTCATTAGATAGTTTCTTAACAAATAGTTTTGATGAAAAAAATATGATACCTATTCATTTATCATTAGTCTAGAATCTAATAGGAATCAAACTATATATACATGATCAAAATGAATATTTTTTTTCAAATGAATATGAAAAAAAAGGATCAAACTGAAATGACTATAATTAATCTATTTTTGACATAATGTATTTAAAAGTTTTGTATAAATATAGAAACGAAATATATATTTTTCGAATATTTGGATCATCAGAAACATCATCACACCATCTATTTTATAAGATTTTGGCATCCTTTTTATAAAAGCTAGCTGATTTTATAGTATCATCTATATAGCTAGGATTAATATACTAAATTCCTTCATTATAGGCAATTATTGTCTAGTCTTTGCTATAGATAATATCATCCAATTCCTTAATAATTTTCTTAGCAGAAGTAAGGTTCTTTTTCAGATCATTTTTATCCTTCTTAGCTTGAGAAATAGCAGATAATAACTTACCAATCTCTCTATCTTTAACGATTATAGATTTATTTAAAGTAGCAATTTGAGATTTATATTACCTCTTCAAGTCACCAAAGCGAGAATTTTGCTAATCTTCTAGCTAATATTTGAAAAATAAATTGTCTGCTTCATGTTTACTATATATTTATTATATTCGCTCTTTAAATTATTCTTAAGAGCATCATATTCATCTTTTAGACATTTGCATTCCTCAACAATCTGAGTCATAATAGTATTCTTAATATTAATTTCTTGTACTGAAGGTGATGTTCACACTCTTTTAACTGTTTCTCAAATCTATCTAGCTGATACAGGGTAATAAGAGATTCCTCTGGAATCTTACTTGCTTCAATCTTGATCTTCTGACAATTTTTTTTATTATAGTATCTATTAATCTCACTAGTAAACAACTCCTCAATGTTCAGATAGATACCCTTAACCTGCTTTTCAAATAATAGTTTATTTTTGCAGATTGTAAGATGCAACTATGCATTTTTTTTTATGCATGGGTAATTAGTCAAACAAATTCTTATAATGTTCATTAAAATGCGGTCTTTTTTCTTCAATCATATCTCAGAAAAAAATTATATATATATCTAGAAAAAGAAAAACTATCATCTGAAAAACTGTAATTTTAGGAACAAGAAGTTTAGATATTTCATTTGTTTCTGACAAAACTTTTCACCTAGAATTGGCTAAAAAAATTTGCCAAGACCTAGTTTCTAGAAAAAAATACCAAGAAAATATTGAGAGAAATTTGTACAACACCTATTTCCTACCAGTTTAATTATTACGAAGTGAAAATTTCATGATCATATGATCATTTGCTATATTCACCATTATGTATTATGCTAGAGCGAAATATATTCTAGAGTTATATTCTCATTGTTTTATAATATTATCCTTTTACATTACTCAATAAAGTCACAATGTTTGCTTTAACATTCCTCAGATTTTCTATATAATTATCTTCATTACAAGACAAAGATGGAGCCTATGATGGATTATGAGATGTAGACTCTAAACATGTATAACTTCTTTAATTGTTTCAGCTCTAACTTCTTTAGCTAGATATTCTTTAGTTTAGTAGTATATTCAATCACTTCAATAAAAGGTGCAGGTGAAACAATTCCTCTATCTCGTTTACAATTGGAGATACTCATGTTATGAATTCTATCAAAAGCATCTTCAGGTTTTTCCAAAAATGAGTGTGAAACTCATCAAAATATCTAGCTCCTATTTAACTCCTTTGAGTTGTTTAACTTTTATTCATATATTCACACATAGTCTAGTCATCAGAGCTAATATAGTGAAATTTAAAAATCACCTATATTGTGAACTATTAACATTTATACTTACATTACAATCCTGAACAAGGTTCCTGAATTTTTCTTTACAATGATGTTCTAAGAAATTAGAACTAAGCTCTTCATTAATTCTAGTTGCAATATTTTCTCAAAATACATCTTTATTCCTTTTTAAGTTGTGGTATTCTTCATTCTTATTTTTACGCTTATCAATAAGGATACAGGTTTGCGTATCAGTCTAGTCAACCATTTTTTTCAAAAGTCAGATGATTAATCTTCTAGTAAATAAGTAGAATATAAGATGTTTTTATAAACATCTAACTGCTCATCAACCTGAGTTCATCTTTACATTATTCATTCATTTAAGAATAATCAAAATTTACTATGTTTTATGATAGTGATTTTTTTCAACTATACATGTGAACGTCTTGTAATAATTACTAGGAGTTCTTGAACTACTCTTCAACTATACTTTAACTCAATTTACTCTAACAGCACCTTTCAAACTTACCCATTATAGATCTTTATCCTGTAATCATGTGTTTATCCCTACAATCATCCTGCGATTATTCTCACTTTCTTAATCATATATTTTAAGATATAATAATCAACTTTTTTTCTAAAGGTTTTGGCTGAAGAGTGTTCTGGACTAGTATTAACTAATCTGCTTAGAAAATTAGAATCAGTAATATCCTATGGTAATGGTTTACTCATATCACTTTTTAGCAATTTTATGAGATTATCTAAAGTCTCTAACTTTTTTTTAAATACCTTAATTGCTTTTCCAAACTTGCTAAGCAAATTATTAGATATATCTTTCTTACTTTTAGTTTTCATTCTTCTCAATATTTAAAAGTTAGTCTAATTAGCTTTTTTCTCATAAATTTGAAAAATAAAACCTAGTTTTCTCCCATAGATCTTTGATCAAGGGAGGTATTTACATAGTTTTAGATAATCGAGCATGTCTACTACCCTATTTTGTCTTATATTCTTAGCAATAATAAAGCCAGTTGCTCTATCATATGTGTGATCATACTTGGCTGAATTGCATAATGGCAAATTTTAGCAGTCTAAAATCATGTATTTTCTCTAAAGAATCAGACCACTTAATCTTTTTTGATTTATAGTATTTGACTTTCATTTCTTTAGATAAACAGCTCTCAGATGCAATTATCTTCACTTCAGATTCAGATGAACTAAACTTAGATGATTTAGTTATAGCATTATATAGATAACAGATTTCTTAGCTAATTCTTTTAAGATTTTGATGTATTTTAGTTACATCATATTCTAACGCTATAATATTTCTTTGATCTTTTGAATAGCATCTATTTTTTCTTTTTCTAAATAATATATACAATACTTTTTAGAAAGCATTTTTATAATCTGAAAAAAAATAAACTGAATATTTATCATGCCTGAACAAAATCTAAAATATTATGTTAACACTATATTAAAACTATCACAAGTCTAGCTTATTATTAGAAACTGGCTATATGAGATGTACTTTATTTTGATATTTCTTTGAAAGCTTAGTCTTTACAGCTCTTTTTTCGGCCTCTTCATAGGGGAGATCATCTTTGATCATATTCTTATAAATCATAATGTGCCAATGCTTATATGATAAAGTAATTATCTCATCTAATAATATCCAGCGTTTAGTATCTATGGGATATAAGTCCTTTTTTTCAGATTTGACTAGAGATAATACATGATCTTTTGATCAGATACTCACATTTTTAATATAGAATACTTCTTTATTAAAGAGATAGTCTCAATAGACTAGAGTCATAGGGTCTGCTTTAGCTCACATAATTTCTTATTCTAATAAGAATTTATCTATCAGATTATCTAGTAGAGATCTCTCTAAGCTTAGTATATATATATTTATAGCTATTTCTTCTATACTTTTCTTAATAAACCTCTTATATTTAGACTTTGTAGACTTATCTGCTAAAACATAGTTATATAATTTAGAGTGAATATGCATGATTCTATAATCACATTACTAGAGATCTTATCTTTATAAAATCTAATACTTTTGGTATCATTGAGATTGAAGAGATCTGAATGCTCAGCCATGTTTTTATAAATATCTTCAGTTTCGACTTAGAATATGAAAGAATCTGTATCTATATAGCTAAGCTGAGCCTTATTACTATATCTCTTCTTTACATATTCATATCAGAAGTGATACTTGTGAAGCTTCTAAGACCTAAGACTAATACCCTAACTATTATAGGCTTATTAATGGTAATACTAGCCTTTTTCATATGTGCTCCTACTAGTATATCTTTAAGCTGTCTACCATATTTAAATGAGAGCTTGCAAATCTTATTCAAGAATACCTTTTTATCTCACTCATTATTACATTTTATAAGCTTGACATCTTGATACTTGCAAATATTTTCCATAGTCTTACCATATACTGAATTATTTATGAGCTTGAAAAGTTCTTTTTAAAAGTATTCTTAGCTCCTTAGCATTTCTCTGTATTAAATACAATATATAAGGTGAGTCAATTAGTTTAATTGAAAAAAAGGATCTCTGTAACTTCGTTTACAACTATGCCTAATTTTATATAGTATTGAAGCTCTTGGTAATGAATGACATAATTCTTTCTCAGGCAAAGATGAGAAACTAACTTTTTTGTGATAGAAAAGCATTTACCATCTAATTATTCTACAAGTTTAGTATTATAAAGACTTAGATAATTCTTTTCTACTATAACATTCTCTACTAGGGTAAATCTCTCAAATAATTATGGGTCTTAAGAGAGAAATGAGCCTTAATATTTAGGAAATATTCACATAAGGCATTTACTTTAGTTCTAAGAATCTTTTCAAGATATTTCTTTTGCATAGCTGGATTTTTAAGTAAGTATTTCCAGCTAGTTTCCTATTGATAATTTCCAATAGGTAAAAACTAACTCATCGCCTAACCATAAAGATTATTCGTATTGATATATGAGATCCAAGTTGTAGAATTGGATAGGTTAAATTTTTTACCTATCTTGAAATTATTTGCCTTAAAATATCATTTACAGGCCTTAGATATTCCCTCACATTCAGCCTTTTTGATAAAATCATGCATCAATATATCTGTAAATAGTTCATCTTAACTCTAGTCTTCTTGAGTATAGCATTCCAGGATAAAGATGGACAAAGACATAATGACTGAGATTGAGCTTATAATATTGCAGACATATCTCTCAAAACCTGATCCAAATATCTGTTAGACTAAGTATATCTAGAGTTCTGGATGAGTCAAGTTAACTCACGAGTCAGATAAGCCAAGTCGAGTTTAAATCAAATTGAGTTTATGATTTTTTGACTTGATGATTTGCGAGTCAAGTCAAATTTAAGTTAAGTTAAATGTTTAACTCGACTCAATTTAAACTCGACTTGATTCGAGTTGACTTGAGTTAACTTGAATTGACTTGAATGATATTTTTTTATCGTTCAAGAAGAACGATGATGAATCATTCAACTTGAATGATTTTTTTTATCATTTTAGAAGAACAATGACAAATCGTTTAACTTGAACAATTTTTTTTATCGTTCAAGAAGAACGATGATGAATCATTCAACTTGAATGATATTTTTTTATCGTTCAAGAAGAACAATAATGAATCATTTGACTTGAATAATGACCTAAATCGTTTGACTTAAATGATGGCCTGAATTATTTGACTTGAATAATAACCTGAATCATTCAATTTGAATGATGACTCAAATCGTTCGACTTGAACGATAACAAATCGTTCACTCTTATTTCCCTCTGATCTTTTCATTTTTTTTTTATTATTTTTTTCAAAGTCGAATCAAGTTAAAATCGAGTCGAGTCAAATTGAGTCAAGTTTAAAATTTATTTAACTCAAATCAAATCAAATTGAAAGATTTTATAAAATAAATTTGACTTGACTTGACTCAAAAAAAGAGAGTCGAATAGAGTTGATCTTTAAACTCGACTCGACTCAATTCATTCAGAACTTTAAATATATCAGTCTTAAAATATAGATCATAATACTTACCTAAATTTTGACATCTGAATTTATTCCATATATTCTAGATATGTTAGTAATCTTATTGTATAATTGCTTTATCTAAAGAACTATAAAATTTATGAATTAGAGGAAATTCTGTCTCCTAAAACCTATCATGAAAATCAATATATTCATAGAGATAAACTTTTTTATGATATACTAGAAAAATTTGTTCAGGTGAAAAGTCTTTAAAATGCTGGCTTATGATAGGATGATCATCACACAAATTCTTTATAAAATTAGCTAAACTATTATTCATGAACTGTTGGTTATCAATATACTTGAACTGACCTATTTTTATAGACTTATATCACTTAAATGTTTTGACTATGATTTGGATATGAAGAGCATTAACTAATCATCTAACAGACTCATAAATTAAATAAAGTCATATCCTCTAAATTTATGAAAGATAACTGAAATTAGGGTTTTTCAAGTATATATTTGGAATTTGAAATTGCAATCCCTATAGATTAATTCACGAAACTTACTTGTAATATAACAGTAATTCCAAACCTTATATCCATAACCTCTGCTTGATCAATTGTCTTATTCATTTTGAGAATTTGTGTGATTATGGCCTTATAATCTTCTGAATTTTTTAGGGTATTTTCTAGCTTATTATTGAGCCATGTTACCTTATTTTCTAAATATTTAACTTACTTCTTATCAATAGCAAATTTTCCCTTACAAATCTAATAGATATCTACTTTGATAAATCTTTTTTTATCTTCCTCAGTCTCAATTCGATCAGTTTTAATAGCCAAGACTTCATTGATGCGAACTAGCTCTTGATTAATTTTTCAAATAA